TCGGATTTTTCAGAGCGCCAAAAGCTCGGCTGTCGTCATATCATAAAATATGATCCAGGACATCGGGACATTGTCTCTGCTTTAGATTATTTTTTGCGTGATATTATTCCAGAGACGGTACGAGATATATCTTTCGAGTACTCTTCGAATAAAGTCGAAATTCGGATTTTTCAGAGCGCCAAAAGCTCGGCGGTCGTCATATCATAAAATATGATCCAGGACATCGGGACATTGTCTCTGCTTTGGATTATTTTTTGCGCGATATTATTCCAGAGACGGTACGAGTTTTTTCTTACGAGTACGCTTCGATCGAAGTAAAAATTCGGATTTTTTAGAGCCATGACAGCTCGGCAATCGCCTTATCGTGAATTATATTCCGAGAAATCAAGACATTGTTTCTGTTATTGATTATTTATCGGATAATAGTATTTCGATGATGGTAAACTATGTTTTTCACAAGAACTCTACTATCGATATGAAAATTCGAATTTTTTAGAGCGACGAAAGCTCGGCTGTCGTCAAATCATAAAATATGATTCAGGACATCGAGACATTGTCCTTGCTTTAAATCATTTTTGGCATGATATCGTTCCAGAGACGATACAAGTTATCTTTTACGAGTACTCTTCGATCGGAGTCAAAATTCGGATTTTTCAGAGCGACCAAAGCTCGGCTGTCGTCAAATCATGAAATATGATTCAGGACATTGTCTCATATCTCATGTCGTCATATCATAAAATATGATCCAGGACATCGGGACATTGTCTCTGCTTTGGATTATTTTTTGCGCGATATTATTCCAGAGACAGTACGAGTTTTTTCTTACGAGTACGCTTCGATCGAAGTAAAAATTCGCATTTTTTAGAGCCATGACAGCTCGGCTATCGCCTTATCGTGAATTATATTCCGAGAAATCGAGACATTGTTTCTGTTATTGATTATTTATCGGATAATAGTATTTCGATGATGGTAAACTATGTTTTTCACAAGAACTCTACTATCGATATGAAAATTCGAATTTTTTAGAGCGACGAAAGCTCGGCTGTCGTCAAATCATAAAATATGATTCAGGACATCGAGACATTGTCGTTGCTTCGGATTATTTTTTGCGGGATATTATTCCAGAGACGGTACGAGTTATCTCTTTCGAGTACTCTTCGATCGCAGTCAAAATTCGGATTTTTCAGAGCGACCAAAGCTCGGTTGTCGTCATATCATAAAATATGATCCAGGACATCGATACATTGTCTCTGCTTTAGATTATTTTTTGCGTGATATTATTCCAGAGACGGTACGAGTTATCTCTTTCGAGTACTCTTCGATCGAAGTCAAAATTCGGATTTTTTGGAGCGACGAATCCTCGGCTGTCTTCAAATTATAAAATATGATTCAGGACATCGAGACATTGTCGTTGCTTCGGATTATTTTTTGCGTGATATTATTCCAGAGACGGTACGAGTTATCTCTTTCGAGTACTCTTCGATCGAAGTCAAAATTCGGATTTCTCAGAGCGCCAAAAGCTCGGCTGTCGTCATATCATAAAATATGATCCAAGACATCGAGACATTGTCTCTGCTTCGGATTATTTTTTGCGTAATATTATTCCAGAGACGGTACGAGTTAACTCTTACGAGTAATCTTCGATCGAAGTCAAAATTCGGATTTTTTAGAGCGACGAAATCTCGGCCTTCGCCAAATCGTGAATTATGATCCGAGACATGGATACATTGTCTTCGCTTTGGATTTTTCTTGGATACTATTATTCCGAAGACGGTACGAGATATATATTACAGGTACTCTTTATTAGAGGAAAAAATCAGATTTTTAAAAGCGATGAAATCTCACTTGTCGCTTAATCGTTTATCATAATTCGAGTCATCGAGACATTTCTTTGCTTTTTATGACTCATTGGAATGATAGTATTTTGATGGTAGTACACATTGTTTTTCGCAAGTACTATTAGATCGAAGAAATAATGCAGATTTTTTTAGCGATGAATGTTCAGTTGTCGTCAAATTGTGAATTCTGATCCGAGACTGCGAGAACATTGTCTATGTCATTGATTATTTATTTTATGACATTATTCCAATGAAGGTACGATATGTCTCTTACAGGCAGTCTTCGAACGGCGTAAAAATTCGGATTTTTTAGAGCGACCAAAGGTTTATTTTGTAAACTCAGGCCTTATTGCAATAACCTTTATTGAAAATCGTTCATTTTTCTGGTCCGTACTTTTGATTTTTTTATAATCTTTAAGTCGCGAAGAGCGTCAGCTATGCCGAACACTTGCATGCTACGCCGAGCGGCCGATTGAGGGTTATGTCCGACCAACATATAAATGCGTGACTTTAATAATTTTTTTCTCACAAACGGCTCGTCAGATCGACTTGCGGTCTCGATATTATTGTTCAGGAGGTCAAAAACTACTACTAAAAAAATTTTCATGAAAATTGACTGGGACCCACGCGCCCATGTTAACTTTGCGGGGTCCTTAACTTATAAGTTCGAAAAAAAAGATCCAATTTTAAATGAAGTTAAAAGTATCGAGAAATTGGAACCATCTGAAATTAGAAAAAAATTTATTGAGATCAGTAGCGTTACAATCACAATTAAAAAATAATAAAAACAAATGTCGCGATGAATTTCAAAAATCTTGTTTTTCAAAACTCATTTCTGGCCGAATAATGAAAAAAAATGTACGTAAGAACGACATGAAATTTTTGCATACTCCTTATATGCAGAGGAAATATTGTGATTGAACAAAATTGATTAAAAACCGCTCAAACAATAAGCGACCAGAGATGAGAGAGCGTTTGAAAAATATTGTTCAAGATTTTTTAGAGAGAGATGAAAATTCATCGATTGCACCGGGAAGCAATGATACTATTGTGAAAAATAAAGTCAGCAAAAGAAAGCGATTTTTGACTGACACGATCGATAATCTGCATAAAAAATTTATTGAAAATGAAAATGTAATGATCAGTCGAACTTTATTTTATGATCTTAAGCCGTTTTAGATTGTTAAAAAGAAAATGAATGAACGAGATACTTGTCTTTGTAAAATTCATGAAAATTTTCAGTTTTTATCAAATAAATTACATCGCTATAAAGTAGTGAAAGCTCATACGTCGAGTCAGTTTCTGCACAACGTTACGTGTAAAAGAGAATCAAAAATCTGCATGTACAGAGAGTGTACAACGTGTCGCGACAAATGTGTTCTCAAACGTAATTTTAAAGAGACAAAAACTTTTTATTATAAGTAGGTACTCAAAAGAGAGAAAAGACTGGGTAAAAATGATAAAATATTTGATGTCAATATGTGAAAAAAATCCACGATAGTTGCTTCGCTTTCTGAAATTATCGAGCAGTTAAATCTATCCTTACCTACATTTTCGCGACATCATTACGATACGAATCATCAGCTAAAATTTAAAAAAAAAAATCAATTAAATTTATGCGAAGGTGAAATACAAATTGTAATTGAGTTCTCCGAAAATTACGTTTTCAAATATGCGGAAGAAATCCAGTCGGTACATTTTGGGGCCTCTAAAGTACAATTGTCTCTTCATACTGGAACATTTTATTATAAAAAAAAGGATAAAGAAAAGATTCAATGTTCATTCTTTTATACAATTTCGAATAATTTATCCCATGATACTGTAGCTATTTGGGCACATTTGAAGCCTATATTTGAGTTGGCTAAAAGAACTGTTCCAAATCTAAATGCGGTACATGTTAGAAGCGATAGTCCATCGACACAGTATAAGAATAAGACGAATTTCTTTCTTTTTGAACATTTTTGTAACAAATATAATTTGAAATATGCGTCTTGGAATTTTTCAACTCCAGCGCATGGCAAAAGTAGTACCGATGCCGTTGGAGGAAACGTTAAACGCTATAGCGATGACTACGTCCTTCAAGGCGATGATATTACTTCTGTTGAAGATTTTATACGAGCTGTAAATAGGTCTTCGGAGAAAATCGATCTATTTCCCATTCAAACGGAAGATATCGAAGAAGTTAAAAAACTCGTACCTTCTAATTTGAAACCAGCACCTAATTCAGCGAAAATTTTTCAATTAATTTGGAATAATGCGAAATCACATTCGTTCAGACTTAATTATCTGTCGTGTAACTTATGCTTTGAAAAAAATAATTGTGAGCATTATGCGTTAAAACCAGAAATTTGGAATTTAGATCAAATTTCTGAAAGAACTACAAGACGTAAAAAATGATTTACGCATGTATTACATATAAATTTATGATTTTTATGAAAGTATAGCTTACTTGATTATTTAAATAATTTTTTCAACAAATTATACTTTGTTTCTAATTACAAAAAAAGATGTATGCGAAAACTTTTTGAAAGTAGAAAAAAGATATGTCAAATTTCAAAATGTAAGAAATTATTTACGCATTTATTGTTTATATGATGCAAGTTATTGTTTAAAAATCGTTATTTATGAAATTGTTAAAAAAATTATATTTTGTTTATAATGTTTAAATAGTTTGTAATAAACGTTTTATTTTAAAAAATCACAGTCCTTTTCAATTTTTATTGCATCCAGTGGGATTGCAAAAACGGAAAAAATTAACAATTATCATACTATTTGCTTAAAAAAAATGATCGATTGTTTAAAACCATAAGCCTCGCTTTTTTATAACTTTTCAAGTCCAAAAGTTTACAAAAAAGCATATTACGCATGCGTGTTCCAAAAAAAAAATGTTTTTTTTTATCGGAAAGTTAAAAGTTTCTCGGATTTCCACATATATATATTGCACCAGGTCACAAAGTAGAGTAGGGTGACGACTTTTTAAGTTCATTCATGGTTTGAAGGTTATTCAAAAAATTTCAGAAGAATCTCGGTCGGGTTTATAAGCTAGACTTTTGCCATACTTTTTTTTCCATATTTGTGACACATTTTTATTGTGTGTGGAATTATATCTATTGATTTGTCTATATTGCTGGATCGCAATTAAAAATAATTTTTTTCTTTTAGATTTGGCTTCATGTTGATGCAGCTTATGCAGGAAATGCATTCATATGCCCAGAACTACAATATCTTCTAGCTGGTATAGAGTTTGCAGATTCATTCAATATGAATCCAAATAAATTTTTATTAACAAATTTTGACTGTTCAATGCTTTGGGTGAAAGATAGGTTCAAATTGACCAGTGCGTTAGTTGTAGATCCACTTTATCTGCAACACACTCATGTTGACACAGCTATCGACTACAGGCAAGTTTTCAATGATCGATTATAAATTAACTCATATGCAATAGGGTCGTCCCAAATAAAAAAATATTTTTGTTTTTGCTCGCCCACCTTTTTATTGTTTTAATAAAGTATTAAGAGGAGGCTCCATTATTTTTAGCCTTTAAAGTTAACGTTTAGAGGTTGCTCTGTGGTGACTCACTGTTACGGACCCGTCCCGTTTACACTATACGTGTGCATCTGCCCACGTTCAAGCAGTGTCGATCGGTGTTTAGCTGATCAGACACAGATGAGCCTTTCATGCCGTAAGATGCATACGTGACGTCAGAACAAGGTTCTGGCGTTGACGTTATGCTCAGAAGGCACCACATGCAGCGTAGTAGTAAGAACATAAGTCGACTGATTTTTTGTTGTTTTGTTTCTCAACAACAGAGTAAATAATAATCTTTTTCCTCTCTCCTAGCTCATTCTTGTCAACGACTTACGTGTCTGAACATCTTTACGAATAAAGTTTGCTTTCAAAAATATTTCCTACCTTTTATTTCACCAAAGTAAATACACTCACTTCACGGCAGTCACACATTTATAATGTAATTAATTGAATAGCAATTCAATCGTAAAAGTCTCAGTTTAGCTGCTACCTCCGAGACGAGCAAGTCTCAAATAATAAAGCTCCTAACTTATTAATAATCTTAGTTATTGCTTTGTTTTCGGCGTTTTGGTCCGAGAAAAATTCTCCTGGGAGACGTAACGAGGAGCCGAAAAGAACTTCTGCCGGGCTCGCATCGATATCCGAGCGGATTCTCGTGCGCAGCCCGAGCATGACCAGAGGCAGGATACGTGTCCACGATTCGGAGATTTCAAAGGCAATGAGCGCCGTTTTAAAGTCGCGGGGCCACCGCTCGATCATCCCGTTACTGCTTGGGTGATACGGGGTGGTGCGTATACGATTCGTCCCCAGGAGCTTGCAGAGTTCATTGAAGATGTCTGACTCTAATTGCAAGCCCTGGTCTGACGTAATGGTTTGTGGGGCGCCGGAACGCGAGACCCAAGTGTCGATGAAAGCACGAGCGACGGTGGAGGTCTGCATGTCTTTGATAGGTACCGCTTCTGGCCATCTGGAGTATCGATCAATCATGGTGAGTGCGTGGACGAACCCTTCGCTCTCCTGCAACGTCACGATGTCGATGTGCACATGCGAGAAGCGAGCGTCAGGTAAGGTGAATTGCGCTGGGATGAGCTTGTTGTGCCGAGAGATTTTTGCCTGTTGGCAGTGCAGGCAGTTTTTTACAAATTTGTCAATGTCCTTGGACATCTTTGGCCAAACATATTTTCTGCTGACTAATTTGCAAGTTGCCGACGGACCTGGGTGTGCAAGCCTGTGAAACAAGTTGATGAGCTCGTTTCTCATGGAGGCTGGCACGTAAGGTCGAAGAGCGCCCTTGTCGATGTTGATGTAAATTGGCACCAAGCCATCCTTGACCGGCCAGGTACCCTTTTGCAGCGGCAAGGGGTAGTCTTTGTCAGCCAAGATAAGTTGGAGCTGGTCATTGGTACTTTGCTCTTACGAGAGCTTTTCGATAGAGAAGGTCGTCGGTAGAGCAAAAGCGTCTACGTGCTTGACGTCCAGAGAAGAGGAAGAAGAGTCAGCGCTAGAAATTCGAGAGAGTGCGTCTGCGACCGAATTTTTAAGGCCAGGTAAGTACTTAATGCAGGTAGTGTACTGCGAGATGTACGCTAATTGTCGCTGACGAACTAGAGGTGCGTACTCCGGAGCTTGTGAAAAAGCATATTGCAGCGGTTTGTGGTCGCAATAGACCGAAAAATCTCGACCTTCTAGTTCGTGGCGAAAGTGACGAATGGCAAGAAATATGGCCATGAGTTCTAGATCATAAGGGGCATACTTTCTTTGACATGTGGTGAATTTTTTTGAAAAAAATCCAAGCGGCTGCCAGCCTGAGTCGGTGAGTTGCTCGAGGACTGCGCCTGCCGCAATTGTCGAGGCATCTGTCACTAGACGTACCTGTGCGTTTTCTTTAGGGAAGCCAAGAGCCGTTGCATTAGCAAGAGCTTGTTTGCTGTGTAAGAAAGCTTTATCGGCTTCAGCAGACCACAAAATCGGCGTGGTATCTTTTTTCTTAGCGCCAACAATTAGCTTGTTCAGGGGCGCAAGAATTTCGGCGGCACGAGGAATGAAAGCTCTATAAAAATTTATGAGACCTAAAAAACGTTTGAGTTCGTCGATGTTGCAAGGCTGAGGAAAATTTTGGATGTCCTTCAGCTTGTCGGGTAAGGGAGAGAATCCTTTGGCGTTCACAATGTGTGACAGAAATACCACTTCTTCTTGGCCGAAAACACATTTTGCGAGATTGAGGCGCAGGTTGTGCTGCGAGAGCCTGTCCAGGACCACTTTCAGATGGGCTTCGTGTTGCTCTCGAGTGTTTGAGGCAATAAACACGTCATCTATGTAGATGAAAACAAAGTCCAGATCACCCAGTGCCTGGTTTACGTAACGCTGAAATGTTTGTGATGCGTTACGTAAACCATAAGGCATAAAGAGGAACTCGAATAGGCCAACTGGAGAGATGACTGTCGTTTTTTCTATATCCTCTGCCGCCAGTGGAATTTGATTAAACGCCTGATATAAGTCTAGCGTCGAGTATATGCAGGTGTCATTTAATATTGACGTGAAGTCGTGTAGGTTTGGGACGGGATATTTGTTGGGCTGCGTGACGGCGTTAAGCTTACGAAAATCTCCTCACACGTGAAATTCACCAGGACTTTTCTTAGGTACTATGTATATCAGTGAAGCCCAGGGACTGTCTGAAGGACGACAGGTCCCGTCTTCGCACCAAATTGCAAACTGCTTTTTAGCTGCTTTTAATTTTTCCGGAAGCAGACGCCTAGGACGTTGAGCAATCGGCTCGCCGGAAGTAAGCAGGTGGTGAAATACACCAGTGGCACGTGCACCTGAGCCCTGTTGCGAGTTGAAAAGAGCCGTGTATTGGCTGAGTACTTGGGCAAAAGGGTGTGGAGGATCAATCAGGCTGATGCCAGTGACTGGTGCAGACGCGAGGTGGCCTCGAGCCGAAATCCCTGAAGTTTTATCGATGAGTTTCTTAGCTTGAAGATCAGGTAACCAACCGAAGTGCGCCAGAGCGTCTGCTCCAATAATTGGATACGGCACGTCTGCGCTGATGAACGACCAACGTGTTGCCCACCGAAAACCGAAATTCATGTTAATTACACGCGTGCCATACGTGTGGATGATCGAGCCGTTGGCAGCGTGAAGAGTGAGGGATGGAGAGGGTGATGTGCAGTTCCCGTCTTTAAGCAGCACGGAGACCTCTGCACCTGTGTCGATGAGAAAGACAAGGTGTAAGGATAAATCCTTAATGAAGAGTCTCTTGGTGCCAAGTGCGCCTGGAAGGCTAGCTTCGCACATGTCCAAGCGAGGGGATTTTTTTCTTTCTCCTCGGCTGCCCACTCTTTCTCATATTTCCGCCAAGCACAAGGAAGGTCGAGGCCTTTCCTGGCCTTCAACTTGTATTTGAAGTGGTAGTAACATAGGTCCTTGTTGGGACCGAAGTTGGTTTTCGGTTGCGAACGTGAACGCTGATGAGAGATTGACCGCTCAGGAGAGCGACTCTGCCTGGGTTTGGACTTGGCTGCAATAGCAGCGATGATTCTGTCCATGAGCTGATCCAATTGTTCGGAATCAAGATTTGGGCTGTGTATGTCTGAGATGTGAGGGTAGCTAAGCGGTTTAAGTCGCTGATGAAGTCGATCAGCTTTTTCTACCGCGGCCTGTGCATCTTGACGCGTGATGGCATCGTCCAGCTGCACAGCCATGTCATTGGGCAAGAGTCTGTACCAAAGGAGCAGTACAGTGTTCTGTGGAAAGTGACCTTGCCCAAGACCCTCCATCTCAGTGTAGAGTTCTGAAGGCTTTTTGTCGCCAAGCCTACATTCTTTTAACAGCGAATCAATTTTTTGTTGTGTGGATAAGCCATACTTTTTAATAAGGTGTGCCTTGAGGCTTGCATATCTGTCAGTCTGAGGCATTGAGCGCAGACAGGCTGAGAGTGACTCACAGGTGCTGTTGCCCAGATGTTTGACGAGTGCCAGAAATTTGGGTTGATGCCGTTGTTTTGAAATTCGCTATCTATCATTTCAAACCAAAGTTGCGGGTCATGTTGCCAGAATGTGGGTATGTCAGCAAGAAGAGGCTGGCCTCTGTAAGGTAGGTTACTATCCGTGCTGACGTTTCTTAAGAGGTGCTGTGTCTCTGAAGGAGAGTGTACTTCTGTCATGGAGGGAGCCGATGGTGCAGGAATACATTGGTGTAGAGGGCCAAGCGGTGTCTTGCACGCATCATGCGAACTCGGCTCATATTTGACAGGTATCTGAGGCGTGAAGATTTGGGCCTGAGGGTTGAAAGGCAACTGTGAGCTGGTGGTTCCAGGGCCACAGGGGTTGGCGCCTGTCGAGCAAGAGCATTGTGTGTGGCACTGAGTGGTGTGTGATTGCGTTGCCGCAGAAGAAGTTGTCACAGTGAGAATGTTTGAGTTGTTAGCTGCAGACGTTTTGTCACTGGTCGTTACGACAGTCTGCTCTGGCTTGCTGTTACTTTGCAGCAATGACCTTTTCGTACTCCCTGAATTGTGCTGTATAGGCTGGATCAAGCTCTGTCTCATCATTGGTGAGGGTGGATTGATTCAAGAGTTCCTTTTCAGGCTTCATGCTCAGCAGAAAAGCTGTGAGGCAGCAGACGAGAAAAAGTGAAAGGCAGAAAAAAATTCTTGACTTGAAAGTCAGCGACAAATTGTCGAAAAGAGGTAGTCGATGGACTACGCGGAGAGAGAGATAAGTAGAGAGAGATTGATCACGAAGAAAAAGAAATTTTGCACGCACTCCTAGTCACGGATACTCAACGCGAGAGAGGGCGAGGGAGCTCAACCTAATTTTTTACCAGCACTTAACCTACTTATCACTAAATGTCACTTAAATTGTCTCATAACACT